CGCTGGTGCAAACGACTCTGCAATTTAGGAGCACTGTAAGCCGCTCTCGTCTACAAATTCCAAAATTGAAAGCCCGAAGTGTTGGATCAAGACGGCAGGATGGATTGAAAACCCAGGCCTTCTACAAGTTTGCAATTGATTATTTGATTTAAACACCCATATTTTCAAATACAAGCACACATGCTCTTCTTAAATGAGATCCTTCATTTTATGGAGAGAAACGAACAAATACAAGAATAATGTAGACAGAAACTAGCACAACAACAAAACCGGAATTCTTGGAAAGGCATGAGTTAAGCCAACAACTTGATCAGAGGTAATTGGGAAAACACGAAAAAATCAACACATCATTAGCAAATTCTACTTTTACGGAACCGTCAGTTTCATAGATAGGTTGGTGCAAATCAATGCACTTTTTGAGCTTCTAACTACAGCTAAGCTTTAACCTACTACTATTTTCATTATGGTACTTTCGGGCGCAATAAACACTGAAGCTTTATCTGCTAAATATAGTATTTGTCCAGAGACTGTGCTAAATGTGCGTCAAACAGTCACTCGTTCACGCGCAAAGCCCACGGAATTTTCTTGGCAGCGCAAAAACACTATATAAAGCGAAAAATCTACTCGACTGTATACCCCAATTAAGCCTCGCATCGGGCTTTCGCAAAAACATGTGAACTTTCTCTGCTGATTACCCCAAAAAGCAAATCTCATAAGGAAAGTCGCATTGACTGCACTTGCAAAAAAATGCACCAATCTTGCACCAACTGCCTTTGTAAAGAGGATCACAACTGAGAATTTTGCTCTTTGACTGTTGCCACAATTTTCGCCCGAGGGCAGTGCACAATAACAGGAGTATTGAGAGGAGTGCCAGCTCCACAAAGGATTACATCACTCCTCGATGGCGAATTCTGAGCAGTCGTCGCAACTGACCCGCGTTTCACCTTTTTGATCTTTTTCACTTGCTTCGCACTTGGTCCTGGAACTGTAGTGATGAGTTGAATTTTGGTGGCAGAAAATTGCAGTGGTTATGAAATTAAGGTGCAAAACCTTCGCAAATAAAGCGTATTTCTTCATCATCAGCAGTCAAGTCGTTGCTTGCCTTTCTCTTCTTCACAGACATTGTGGGCATCCTGCACAAAAGATTTGTCATGAGGATATTCAAGTGAGAAAAACTTCTCACACTGACGTCTCGCCGATTGCTCCATGTACAACTGGAGGTCTCCATGCAACGCCACGCACATCTGGTGGTTCTACAGCGCCGTACAATTTGTCAACCCCACCTAAAGAATTTATTTTCATTCCTTCCCTAGAAGTCTATGTTTCACGGAAATTCACATCAATATTTGCTAATATTTGCTTACATAAGACGATACCTTGGCCTTCTTCAGGGGATTTGCGAGGTTCAATATTGATTGCTTTGCGTCGGACCTTTGTTGGTGTAGTGTCAATGGAACTGGACCTTTTGCAAAAAATAAAAATTATAAACAGTCTAAATTGGATGCAGAGACGGGACAAATTTCCTAGTTTTTCCAGCCCATCTCTTTTTCTCAGCATGAAGAATCTCAAATTACCAAGTCACTACTTTGAGATCACGAGCTAAATCACCGCACGAGTGGAAGCATAGCTGGGCGCCCCGCAGATTACATTGGTACTTTCTCAAAAACAGCTGTCAACACTAGCCTGTTGTGAACTGCCACTACAATTTGGGTACTTTTGAGACTGGATTACAAAGCCAGATTGCCGACGAAGAACTGTTGCAATTCGACCCCTCCTACCTTACATATACTTCGCCATATGATACGTGATCGAATGTTGAAAAAAAA